GCAAAACTCTCAAGGCAGCATTTGTATAATCTCTACCACCCTTTTGGTGGTGCTGGTGAGCTGGTTGAGAGGGGTAAAACAGAAGCTGTGACACAGAGGAGATATGAAAAATTGGAGCCTAAATAAATTCAGGTGAAGCCAAAGTCACTGCTCCAAGCCAAGGAGCTGGGTTGGTTTCTCCAGCAGCACTGGCCATGCCCACCAACACCTTCACCACCTTCAGTGCCTTGGGCACTGCCGCCATCAGGGCCTGGAGGTGAAGGAAATGAAATGCGCTGTTTACCTCTCTCTGGAGAGCAATTTAATCTCAGAACACTTTCCCAGAAAAACTGACCCAGGGCCAGTGGTGGAAAGCCTGTAGTGAGGGGAAAAGGGAGAGAGGAGCTGGAGGACAGGCTGGGGCACTTCTGAAGTGCACACCTGCCTGGCCATGGCAGTGCTGCAGCCATGCTACAAGACCTGTTCACATGCCCTATGCATTTAAGGCAAGATCAGTGCTTTTCCCAAATGAACCCTGAAACCCCTGAAACCCATCCCCTCCGCTCTGTCCCCATCCTGGGTCCATGTGCATCCACATGCTCACAGCTCCAAGCTGTCCCCAAAGGGTGACACTGTCCCCAAAGGGCACTGCAGAGGGCAGGGACACGATGTGCACCGAACAGGAGCTGACACCAAGGTGAACAGGTCCCAGAACCTGCAGCTGGGTGCTGTTGTTGGGCCTCCCCCTGACGAGCACTCACAGATGCAAATAAATTCTGACTTGGGCTCCCAAATTCCTGCTCTGCTGGCTGTGCTAAAAATAGCCCAACGCAGTGCGTGCTGGCTTCAATCAACCTCATCGATCCGCGCTCCTGGGTCCGGTCCAGCCGCAGCGCATCCTCCGCTGCCTCCCCGGACCCCTCCTCGCCCTTGTGCTGTGGGAGCACCTCCACCGCACTGTCCTCCACCCCTGCTGACCCCCTGCCCCTGCAGACGAGGTGATTTATTGCTCCACGGCCCGCCAGGCAGCCGGGCTGCAGCAGCGGGGTGTCGCGGCTCCCGCTTTCTGCAGAGCCGCATCCAACACCGAGATGAGTTTGGGGCTCCGGGCGGCGGAGCTCTTGGTTCAGGGAAGGACTGACCTCAAAACTGGGCAGAGGGAGGGGAGTTGGCTGAGGATTGAGGGAACATGTAGGAGCTGGCTGGGCTGCTGAGCCCAGGGCTCTGCTCTGCCTCTCTGGGCATCACCCAGGTGCTGATGCATGGGCTGATCCGTAAGCATCAATGGGCCTGGCAGAGGGACGGCTCCCTGGCAGCCCTAGGAAAGGTGCCAGCAGCCAGGAAGCACTGCAGGTCACTGGCTTGATTTGAGCAGAGCCAATGAAGTCTGGCTGTTGTCTGGTCAGGCTGTTGTCTGCATGGGAGCACCTTCCCTTCTTAAGGGTCTCCGTGCAGCCTCACAGGCCCCTTCTGTGGGATCTGCACCTGGATTCATGGCAAACTCAGTTGAAGCCATCAGGAGGCTCAAATGGGGCAGGGAAGGTGGCAGTTCACACCTTCAATACCCACCAGCTCTGAAGAAGAAGGCAGCTCCCAGCTCCCAGCTCCTCTCTCCCCTCTCAAGTGCTTTCCTGCAGCAGGGAGGTATCTGGGCAGACACTGCCTGCCACCACTGCCACCCTGTGCTGCTCCATGTTTCTGTCTGTGAACGTGGCCCTTCCCACAGGCCATGCTTTGGAACAGATGGACACACCTGGTGTGCACACCAGGGCTGGCAGGTGCCCTTAGGAATCCTGGGCTTAAATGGTGCATGTCTGTATAAAGGGATGTTTCTGTCCTAATTTACAGGTTTTTAAATAATATCCAGGCTCTAGATGCCACAGAGGCTTTGTAACACATGGCAGGGTCCTTTGCTGACTCTGGGCCAGAGTGAGGACTGGATTTACTCTCCAACCAGAAGCTGTCCTTGCTGGGGTGCTGGGGGATGGATCAGAGGAAGGATTTTTAGTGCTGCCTTGGTGTTGCCCTTGAACACAGGCTGTTGAGACAACAGCAGTTTTGTGGACACAGAAAGGGCATCAGCAGAATGCATTTCCACATGGCCCCAGGGCTGTGACTACTGCAGGGAACTGTGATTTTGTTTCCTCTAGCCTCCCCTCCTCTTCACTCCAACGTGCCTTTCCTGTGCCCTCTCCTTTCTGCTCAGTGGGGAGCCCTCTTCCTTTGGATGAGTTTGGGGCAGCAGGAGCAGCCTGGCTGGACAAGGTATCACTTCTCTTTGCAGAAACAGCTTGAGACCTTTGGTGGTTGAACAGGAGACAAAACAAAGAACAAAAACACCCAGCAGGTCACAGGTGATGAAATCCCTGCTCTTTCCTTGGAGCTGTCTGTAAAGCAGCTGCCTTGGAGGGGTGGAAGATGCTGTGGACAGAGCTCTCCAGGCCCTGTGCAGAGCCAGCCCTGGAGCTCATCCATGGAGTGGTGGCCCTGGGGACAATGGGACCTCTTCCCTTTTCTTGTCTGTTTTTTTTTCACAGTTCATTTTATGGCATCTCCTGCCAAGGGATGTGGACCGTGGCTGACAGGACTGCACCTTGTTTTGGAGGGAGGGCAAAGAACTGGAAGGAGCTCAGCAGCCCAGGAGCCATCTGGAGACCTGTGGTGAGGCCCCACCAACGATGGGGTGATGCCTTAGAGATACCCTGGAGATAGAGGGGCCTAGACTTTTTCTAATTCTCCATTTTTCCAGTTGCAGACAGTTTGCATGGGGGAAGTGTTTAATTTAGAAAGGCTAGCACTGCTGTATCACATTGCTGTGTTGGTCTCTGTTGGTTTATGACCAGTGAAATCCTGGTGTGAAAACAGAATCAGGCTTTGATTTCATCTGCCCCTGCTGTTTTACACCACTAACAGCTTTGCATTTCGATAGCAGCTTTTATTCTAAGAGCTAAATGGGCTTCACAGACAGGCAATTAATTAATTGAGCCTCCCCAGCCAGCCTGTGCCCTCCGTGCCACAAGGAAGTATTTGCAGAGGAGGAAACAGAGGCAGAGGACAAAAAGGAGCAGCCCCAGCTGAAGAGCTGAGCTGGCTGCTGCCTCCACAACGAGGCCTCACCCTGCACTGGCTGGGACATTGCTCCCAGTTCCATGGAGATGATCCTGATGCCATTTCCAAACTGGTGTGGGAATGGCCTCACTGCAGAGATCAGCTTAGGAGGTTCTTTGGGTATCTATCAGTGATTGTCAGCACTGAAGCATCTGAGCCCAAATTAGCTGATGAGCTGCCATCGCTTTGGACCACCCCAGCCCCTTGAAGAGGAATCCTGTGAGATCATGAAACAGTGTCAGGAGGCCTCACTACCGTTTCCATCATCCATCCTTGCTGACCAGCTCATTTCTCTTGGATGGGACCTTGAGCAACCTGATTTAGTTGGTGACATCCCTGCCCACAGTTGGGAAGTTGGAGCCAAATGATGATGACTTTTTATTTTATAATCCTAGATGATTTTTAAGGTCCCTTCCAGCCCAAACATATGAGGAGGCACTCTGGGTTTGCAAGGAAAGGCTGTTTCAGCTGAAGGGTTTGCTTTGGTCCAGGTGCTGAGATCTGGGCAGGGACCTGCCATGATGGCACTAAGCAAGAGAGGGGTGAGCCTCAACTTCCCCCTCCAGGTCCTGCTCACTGCCTGGTGAGCAAGACACAGCCCTGGGAAACTGTGTGCTGTGGTCTGGATCTGGGGCACCTGGAGGAGGTGGAGGAATATGCTTTTGCTCGGGCAGAGTGAATGCATTCCTGTAGAAATTACCTGCCTTTTATTATGAAATCCTGCTAATGGTTTGTTGTCTACACAAATAACCATGGGGAATGAACTCGTGCACTTCCCAGCCTGCTCTGTGTCTTCCTGGCTCAGCTCCTTTCTGAACAAACATAACCTTTCGCAAGAATACCTGTCAAAATTGCTTTGAAATATTGAAGTAACAGGATGGGATTTTTTCTAACAGGTTTGCTCCTGGGCCCTAGTGCTCATCCATCAGGACTTAGGATGTCCATCCAAAGTGACTTGTGAGCGGGATGCAAGGGAAAAAACTCTGGCGAGCAGCAGGGCCTCAGAGGGCTGCATCTGGGGAGCTTAGCACCTCACCTCACTGTGCTGGCTCCCTGGGCTCCCACACACTCACCTGGGAGCACAGCAGCTCTCAGACCCTCACAGATCCCTCACTTTTTGTTGGTCGTGAGGTGGGTGAGAAATAGGGGTTTGTGACTCAGCTGGAGCTGATCAGGATAAAATAGTGTCCTTTGGCCACCAATGTGGCCTGGGAGTGCTTTCATGGCCTCAACACCTCTGTTCTCACCTCATGTGAGTATTTTAGAGATGGGGCAAAAACCTGTGGAGTCTTGGGACAGTGTTGGACAGCAGTGGCTGAGGGGAAGGTGGCTGCTTGGGTAAACCCATGAACACAGAGCCTTCACTTTCCCTCCCAGTCTCTGAGTGCCAAGGGCTGTTCAGGGGCTCCCCAGGGTGTCTCACTATGGGCAAGCTGTAAATGCTGAGTGTCTTTTACCTCAAAAGCAAAATCACCCCTCCATTCTCTCCTTCTTCACCAAGCAGCAAGAGGCTTTGTGCTCTAACTCATCACTGCCTTGAAAGCGGGGGGATAATCCACCCCTCAGTGGCTGGTCCCAAGGGCCACCACTGCCCAGACACGTCTGTTTAGGGGCAGAGACCAATACCTTTTGATTTGCAGGAGAAATCCCATTGCATGGTGGCACCTGCTCAGCCAAGAGCCCTTCACTTCTCATCCCCTTCCCAGTTCCTGGTGGTGATGGTCTCCCACCTGGAATAAGGTGAAAGATTCTATTTTCCTGGGTATGAGCTTTTTCTCCTCAATGCACGTGGAAGTGGTGAGAACTTGGACACAGACAATCGGTGGAAGAAATCAAAATGAAACACTTAGAAATCCAAACATTCCCCCCTCCAAACCAACCAACCAACCAACCAACCAACCAACCAACAAAAATTCCTTCAAATAAAACTCCATCTCTTTCTCTAAAATCCATGATTAAAACCTGATACAAACACGTGAATATAGATATATATATATTTTTTTTTAGTAGATGTAGTATTGTTTTTTTTCTCCTCTCTCTTTCTCATTATACAGCAAACATTGCAAATATAGAAATTTTCTCTGTACAATTAACGACTTCAGTTTACAATGCAATGTGTGGTAAAACCTCTTAGTGAGTGAAAATGTGAACGGGCCTTCAACCGGGTAAAAGTCTAAACTGGAAGACTCCGTTTGCAAAAACAGCCCAAAAGATGGAGCTCCTTCTGGTCTCTTTTTGGTTTTTGTTGCTGTTTTTGTCGCTGTTGATTTTGGAAGGGAAGGAAGGAAGAACACAAACTGTTCACAAAGAATCCACAAAATCACGGAATAGGGACTCATGCAATGCAATATTGGAAAACGCCAGACCTCAGCTCTCTGCCCACTCTTTCATTTTCATTTTATATTCAATTTTTTCTTTTTTCTTATATTTTTTTAAAAAATCAGAATGAAACAAAACTTTTTTTTATTCCCACTCCACAGTTCGTTTTGCAAAGTTTATGTTCAAATTTGGTGCATGTCTCACCAATGTGAGGACATTTTAATATCTCACTTTATATATTATATAGAATATTTATAGATTTTTCATTATTTGTTCTCTCTTTCATTTTTTTATTGACTCTTTTTTTTTTTTATTTTTAATTTTATTTTGTTTCAAAGACAGTCTGAATAAAAATAGCTGCTGCGGATTTCTTTTGGTCCAGTTAGTGTGTTAAGTCACGAGTTATGTGAGGACTCAGGACTTTTGCTGGGCAGAGACGCCCTTCCAGTAGTCTAAGATGTCGTGAAGATCCTCGTCTTTGGCAAACTGGACCTTTTTGCGTAGGGCATGGCCGGCTGCCATGTACTCCTCCTCGTCTTTGTGCCGCTTGCGGTTGAGTTTGAAGCGCTCCCAGATGCTGTGCGATGGTTTGCAGGTGTACTCTGGGCTGGAGGTGTAGCTCAGGTTGTGATACTGAGGCGAGAGCTGGGAGTAGGCCAGGTCTCTGGGGCGAGGACGGGTCAGAGGCTCCAGGATGGAGGGTTTCCTCCCGCCCATGCTGTCGTGCTGCTCCCCTGGGTGCGAGCTGGGGTACGAGTGCCGGTGTTCGCTGTACTGGCGGATCTTCTCCGCCTCTGCCCGCAGGATGGCAGCAGCCGGTGTCACAGTGAGGATGGTGTCGGTGGTGGGGGATGTCTTCTCAATGTATTTGGCTTCGGATTTGTGGCCCGATCCCTCAGAGCGGTAGGACCTGGGGCTCCGTATGGAGCCACTGGAAGAGGTGCTGGAGCGTTTGGGGGCCGCCTCCATGCTGTGGTGTCGCTGGAGAGGGTGGTTGTAGCTTTCCTTGTAGACAGGGGAAAGGAATCCATGCTTGCTGGGGATCTGCTCTGATAAGAGCACCAGCTGAGGCTCCACCGTGGAGACTGCCCCCGACTTCACCCCTTGGAAGGAGGTGGACTCGGATTTCAAGGCATCGATGCAGTTGTTGATGATCTGGTTCACCTTGTCCACCTCCTTGGCAATGGTGGAGATCTCAGCCACAGAGCCCTGGGTGTCTGGCGGCAGGGACAGCTCACAGTCTCGCCTCTCAGGCTGCTCACCCGTCCTCACCTCCATGTAGTTGCCCTTGGTGGCCTTGGGAGTCTCGCTGCTCTCAATCAGCTTGTACTGCTCGACCTCACCAGCAGAAGGTAGGTAAGGGATGCGGGTCACTGTCTCCCCACCCAGAATCTGTCCCTGGGACAGCTGGGTGATGCTGGTGGTCTCCATTTCTGGCCCATACTTCAGCTCAATGATGGTCTTCTTCATGCTGCCGGCAGCCTTTTTGTGCTTCTCCTCCTGCTGGCGCCTCTTCCGGAGGCAGTAATAAACCACACCCAGGACAATCACCATGCCAAAGAGACAGCCCAGGATTGTCATGATATAATGGGTGGCAGTGGAGGGGGTGGGCACCGGCTCCTTGCGGTTGGGTCTGGTGGGGGTGATGGTGACGCAGGTGTGGTTGTACTTGGAGTACTGGTGAACAGAGACTACACAGTAGGTGTAATCTCTTTGTGCTACTAGGTTGCTCACGGTGATGTTCTCCTCCTTCTTCCTGAGCTTGGTGATCATGGAGGAGAAGCCGTTTTCGAACTGGGAGAGGATGTACATCTTGCTGAAGGGGTAGGGGATCTGCACGGTGAGGACGGCCGAGTTGTGGTTGAGGTGCTTCACCTGGATGTTGGGGCGCACCTCCGTCTCACCAATGGGCGTGAACAGGGAGAACTGCGGCGTCGTGCCGTCGCCAGAGGAGCACTCCTCCTCGGAGCAGGGGCTTTCGGAGGGCACCGTGGTCACCTGGTACCTGGGAGGGATAAAACGAGGGATCACAGTGTAGGAGCCACCAGTGCAAAGGGAAGAGAGCATGCTCAGAGCATTGCGGTAGCCAGTCCGGCCTTGGCCTAACAAGTAGTAGCCCATGTAGTCGGGCGGGGAGTCGCACTGCATCCGGTCGTAGGTGCGTGTCATGTTGGTGAAAGCCTCCAGCCATTGCAGGAAGCCGAGGAGCTCGCAGGAGCAGTAGAAGGGGTTACTGTAGAGTTCACAGACAGAGAGCTTGTTTAGGCCCCGAAAAGTGTTGCTGTCCAGTCTCTGGATCCTGTTCATGGACAGGTCAATGTTCACTATGTTGGGGCACTCCCAGAAGGCATTGGGGGTGACGGTCTCGATGAGGTTGGCCTGGAGATAGAGGTACTCCAGCTTCCCCAGGCCCCGGAGGATGCCCTCAGTGAGGTTCCTCAGTCGGTTGTAACCCAGCTGCAGCACCTGGAGGTTGAACTGTCCTGAAAAGGCACCGTCCTCGATGTAGGAGATCTCGTTCTTCGTCAGGTTGAGGTATGTCAGGTTGCCGAAGCGGCTGAGCGAGGCATACTGCACGCTCTTGATCTTGTTGTCGTTCAGCCGCAAGTCCACGATGGTGCTGTTGATCTGCTGGGGGATGGACTCGTAGGGGGGCTGGTTTTGGCTGCAGATGGCCAACCAGACGAAGCCCTTGTCCCCCTCGATGAGCCAGCAGTCTGCCCGCACCCCGCCGGCGTGCAGGAGAGACACGGCCGCCACGCACATGCAGAGGGCTGACGTCGCGGCCCACCGGCGACCTGCCATCTGGAAGGGCAGCACGGAGAAGGGGTTCCTGGTCTGCTGGAAGCGGGGAACAGGACAGGGACCAGGAAGGTGTGGGCTAGTGCTCCTTCGGCAGCTTTGCTTGTCTCTCCCTTCTCCTCATGGCTCGGAGACGGGAGGGAAGCGTCCCTGGAGAAAGCAGACCTCGGTGCCCACGGTACTCGGCAGCCAGCAGCCAGGGGCTGCTACCAAGGCCTTGGTGGCTGAGGCTGGTCCCACATCACCAGACCTCTGGCATCTCGAGGAGGGAGTCATGAAGTTAAGTGCCTGTGCAGAGGAGTTGTTCAGGCTTAGAGATAAGCCTTCCTCTCATTTTTTATAGTACTTCTCCTCGTTTTCTTTTTGCTGCACATCGTGGCGCTGGTCCCCATCTCCCTGTGCCTCCGTGTGTTCGGCTGTCTCCGCTCAGTCTCCTGGCTCACCTGCTCAAAAACAAAACACAAGCACAAACTGAGCACAAAGGAAAGACAGCCAGCAGTCAGAGGTGTTGGACATCCATCCAACTCCCCTCTTAGTTAGGCACTCGCCTTCTCATTCTGGAAAACACCTTTCAAGGAGCCTTTGGTTTATTTGGCTGCCACCAGCACTATTTAGCAGCACAAGGGGAGATGGTCACTGGCCATTGAGGTCACCCTTGTCCAACATCTCTTTTTTGGCAGTTGAGAGACCAACTCACATCCAGTGCACCGTTTGTCTGACCTATTTAGGTGTCTACCTGAGGAGGAGAGGAGTGATGCCCCAGAAGTGTCTGTTCCTCTCCGCTGAGAGCAGATGAAGTCTAGACAACTCGCTCTGATGTAGATTTGATGCTGCAGCGTTTTGCTGAGGGGAATCCTGCCTGTCTCGTGTGCTGGTGTGCGCAGCAGCAGTGCCCACACAAGGGGTGCTGGTTGAGGACACCATGTCTCTCTGCTGGCACTGCCATGTGGCATCTGGGATACAGCGCAGCATCAAATGCTTGTCCCGTTGCTGGGAACATGAGCAGTCATTTCAGGGCACTCTTTGCAAAGCCCACTGGTGTGATTGTCAACCACCCAGTGTCCTTGTCCCTGCTGGGGGCTTGTTGCCTTTCTCCAAGGCCTCTCCCTTCCAGGAAAAATGATGCAGAGGTGTGGAAAACCAGCAAACATTCAGTGGCATAACGAGCATTTGCAGAGGATGGGACAAGATCTTCCCTCCCCAGACAGAAACATCTGTTTGAAGACTAGAAAAAGTCTTCACTAGACACAAACCTGTGGGGCTCCCAGCAGCCTCACTCCCCACAGAGAAATTCATTTCTTGCTCACATTTTCCATTTTTTCCCCCTAAATTTTTTGACTAAGCATAAATTTCCATGGACAGCTCTTACTTCTTTTTCTGATTTCTTAGGGAAAAAGAAAGGCAAAAGGGGAGAGGTGGGAAATGCATGAACACCAGCCTCTCCTGGGTCATGCTTTCCCATAAGATATTGAAAACATCATCTGTGGATATCTCTACTGCCAGACAGAACTCTGGGCTGGTAGGATGGATGCAGTGAGATGTTGTGGCAGAGATGGAGTTGCCCACAAATGGAGAGAAATCATCATGGCTTATCTAGAAATATCCTTCTTTGAACTTTTTTTTGGGAACAGGAACATTGTTTGTCTCCCTTGTCCAAGGGCAGACTGTAGAAGCCAGGGAAGACACCACCAATACTCCTTGGAAACATAGCTGGTAAGAACTGGAGGTTTCTTGGGAAGTTGTGGTGGAGACAGGGCCACATCTTACATCCAAATTGTCTTTCACAAAATGTGAAAAACAGTATAAATCCAGAAACAGTATTCCAAACCATTTCACAGTGCCCAGGCTGGACTGCTCTTGGCACTACATCCCTGAAAATTGTGTGGGGCTGACTGTTTAGAGGCAGATGCTACACTCTGACCCTTGTCCCAAAGAAACCAGGTTCTTTTCCAGCCACAATACAATACCAGGCAGGGAAGGAGACCGTATTTCATTGCAGAGATCCCTGTTCACCATTCAGTGTATACCCTGGTAAACAGGCCAGTAATAATAAGCAGTAAAACAGTTTATTTGGTTGGATTGTGAACAATGAGTCTGTTCCCTGGCGACGCTTAGGTTTCCATTACATGAATAACAAGACCTTCTCTCACATCAGCTCTCTGCAAATGAGACTTTCCAGCCACCTTGTCCTCCATGTGCTGTCACTGCCATGGGATGCTCTGCCAGTACCTGGAAGTCCATTTTAACAAAGCTGAGTCCTTGGAGCCAGGGAGGAAGGGAAGAGGGACTGAGCTCCCTGGGAGATTGCAGGTGAGTGGCCCCCCTTGCCACCCCCACAGCGAGACACAGGCTGCAGTGCCAGACTGAAACACGTCTGCTGCTGCATCCCTCTGGTGTTAGACAGCTCAATTAACCTCTCTGCACTCCAGCCTCCTCTCTGGTACCATGAGATAATGATAGCACTTCACAGGGTGGTGGGAGACTGAAGCAAAGTGCCCTGAGCTCCTCTTGTTGGGGTGAAAATCCCAGCACATGCATTACGTTGCAGGTGGAGACTTTCTCTCTAGGTGTGTCAGCTCTCCTCTGCCACAGAGAGCAGCCTGGTGTCCAGCTCCTCCTGCATCCTGTGGGGATGTATGTTGCCCCTGAGGGTGTGGGATGAGGGTAATTATTCCTGGCCTGCAGAGCCAGAAGCAATGGCTTGCCCCAGTTTTCTCCTCAGGGTGGCACTTGATTCCAGCATCTCCCTGTCCTCCTCCATGGACTTGTGGATTCCTGCAGGCAAGGGAAGCCCTGCCAAAGCCAGCACAGGCAGCAGGAAGGGATGCACTCAGCATATTCTCTTCAGCAAGCACTTTGTCTCCTCTATTTCCCATTGTGACCCAACCACCCTGTCTGGGCAAATCTGTGTTTGGGAAGGCTCTGCAGAGCCAAACCAGCCTTTTCCTCACAGAGGAATGTTCTTGTCACTCCTCCCTAGGGAAAGGCTGTGGGCAGAGGGCACTGGTGGAGTGGGACCACCCATGAGCCAAGAGGAAAAACAGCCTGGCCACAGATGTTGCCTGATCCCCTATAGCCTGCCCCTATAGCCACCCCTGTGCTTCCCCCATCTAACTGCAGGTGCTGGGGATGAAGAAGAGCAGCAGTAAATGACTCAAACACTTTCAGTAAGGTTCCACTGTACGTTTTCTCTTCTTTTCCATTTTCTTGCCTATCAGCCAAGTCCTTCCCAACAACAGAAAGGAGAAATGGCATTTTATCAGCAGCCTAAGTTTAATTTCAACTCATTAAAGCAAGCAATTTGCTGGTTTATTTGCTTTACAAAGTGTGAATAAAATGACAGCATTAAGGAGATGTGAGAGAGGAAAGAGGGCCTAATCTCCCTCTTTATTAGATTCTCGGGACATGACTGGTGAGTGGAGAAGTGGGTCTTGTTTCTTTGCACAAAAGGCATAATTGTTCATCTTGCTGGCTTCTGAGAGCCTCCATCCCAGCCCATGGTGGGTGTGTGTGCCCAAGCAACACCAGCACTGAGCATCCCCCAAGGATCTGGTGGTTTAACTCTCCTGCCTGCCTGATTCATCTTTGCCCAGTTGTCCTGAGTTTATTCTCCTGGTAACACAACTGCACATCCCTTTTTCCAGTCCTCTGAACTCCCACAGAGCTGAGAAAACCTGGGAATAAACCAGCAAAACTCTCACATGAAAAACAACCAGGAAAGTGGTGATTTGAGGGTCTCTTTTGCTGTTGGAGAGCGAAGCAAAAGGTAGAAATGAAGACAGTGTGGAACAGGTTTCAGAATGATGTGTTTCATCTCAGTCAGAGATATCTTGAAGCGAGGCACCCTGGTGACAATGACAACAGGCCACATCCATGACAGGGCCATGGTAGCCATGCAGGAAATACCATTCCTGCACAGTTACCTGGGCCCTGCAGACACTGCTGTAATTCCCTTTCCTTCTGCTCTCGGGGAGGCAGAATGGTTTGACCAGCTGAGATGATGCTGGGTTTTTGTGGCTAACAGAGGCCGGCAAAGGGGCAATGACAACTCCCTCACTCCTTGATCCTCCTGCCTCTGATATCCAGTGTCTGTGCTGGAGCCCAGATCCATGCTTCTCCCTGCTAATCCTCAGCCCTGACTGTGATATGCTCCCCTCCTACCCACCTCTGCTTCTCCAGCCCTGGTCCCTGTCAACAACCCAGCAGCAAAGAGGGATGGCTGGAATCTCAGGCCTGCAGCCTGCTCTGGATGAGCAGCAGCATCCTTATCCTGGCTGAAAACCCACAGAAAGGGAGGTGGAAAGGAAAAGGCAAAGCTGGAGCTTCAAAAACCAGTGCAAGCTGGCTGGGAAGTTTTTGCTTCCATTTCCCAACTAACGGCATCTTGGAAAATTAAGCCAGAGCAGCAGCTGCAAGGAAGCAAACAAAGCAGCCATGGGGGCTGGGATGGGAGCTGGCATTCAGTTCCTAATTTTGTTATTCTACTGAATGAGTTATTTCAAACTGTGGATTACATTTACTGAGGGAGCAAAAGATTACACATGCGTGTGCGTGTGTATACACACAGAAGTGCTCCTCTCCTTGGCATTTCTGCATCTCCATAACTTCCTTTTCCCTAGCTGCTCCATCTCCAGCTTCTCTTAGATCCCCTTTCACAGCCACTTGGGCTGTTTTATAAAAAAATTATCCCCACTACAAAGAGAGCCAGAGGAAAATGGGAGTGGTACATTACAAACGTGAGTATTTGGTCAACCAAACAGGAAAGGAGGAAAAATTTGGCTAACAGGAACCAGATTTTAAAGTGAAACTTGATTCTTCATTATGTGTAAGATAATGTAGAGAGGCAGCTCCAAGATGGCAGATAACACCTCCAATAGTGATGAAATCTCCTGTAAATAGCTAAAGTCTATCCTGTATTGGTCAGGTGGGGAAAGGAGACTTCTGGGCAGATTTTCCCCTCATTCATACTCTTTGCTCCATGACTCCTGCTGGGTGATGTTGGTCAG